AATGTTGAAGAGATTCTCGAAAATAAAACTCTCTAAAGATTCTCTGTCACCTTATATTTTTTGTACAATGTTTTATAGTGTTGGTAGGGGAATTAACTTTAAACTATGAGGTAATAGAAAATACATAGAGAGTCTCCTTAGTGTTTCTCATGCAGTAATTAAGCAAATAATTAAGCACGTATCAAATCTTAATATGACTTATAAGACGTGCTGTGATTTTTAAATCATATATGTGCATTCAGAACTTTAGGGTTTATTGATTGGTGGTAGGAATACCTTAGGATCAACTTCAGGCCTTCTCTGCCCAGACTAGGGATGGTAACAGTTCGGTTTGGGGGTGGAAATGTTATATCCATCATCATAACCACGAAAATTAACCATATCTATAACCGTAAATTAACCATCAAGTATTATCTATAACCATACCCACCGAATTACAGATTCTCCATCAGTTAGCGGTTATATCCATCTTCCTTAATACAAAAAATATATTCATTTAATTGACGCATGATAATTTAGTAAATATTTATTTTGTCATTAAATATTTGATGTATAAAATGATTTAATGAATGGATTTTGTGGAGCATAAAAATTAAAGCAAAACATTGATAATGTTGACTGATCTTTGATATCTCCCATAAGTACCATTGAATTCTCATATATTTTGGTTCATATCAAAACTTTTAAACTTTCCGACAAAATGCAACTTACACAACGCAATTTTTGTATTCTCAAGATAATGGCTTCGGTGAATAATGAATATACAGATGTGTGTGTGTGTGTGTGTGTGTGTTTCATTTAATACTTTAATATTATATATTATTCGGTTCGGATTCGAGGATGGATAGGAATTGGAAACCCCTATAACCAAATTCAAAACCATAACCAAATAATATTCACGGTTTTTCCCCTTACCCAAAATAGACCCGAATTTTCATACCTAAATCCAATCTATTGAGGCAGTTATCGAGTTTAATGGTTAGAATTGCTATCCCTAACCCAAACATCATGCTCCCATTCATAAATGGTCTTGTCCTCCACCTAGAAGGCTCAAACTCAACGTGGATGGTGCCTAGTGCAAGGAGACAAATCTGGGTGGTATGGGGTTGATTTTCAAGGATTCAAATGGAACTTGTGTGGCTACTGCAAGTAGGAGATTTGGGGACATCTTCTCTCCTATTTATATTGAAGCACTCGCAATTAGAGAAGGTCTTTTGATGGCGATCGAAAGGGGTTTACAAAACATTTCATTGGAAAGTGATTCACTTCAAATCATTTCTGCTGTAAAGGAGTTCTTTGAATATGTCTACTACCGGACCTATCATTGAAGCTGCTAAATCCTTATTGCACTTGGTCACTGAAGCTACTGCTTTCCATGTTTGTCGTCAAGCTAACTCTGTTGCCCATATGCTTGTTCGTTTTGCCCTCCACGGAGGTGATTGAACATGGCTTGATGAAACCCCCTCATTGATTTGTGATTTAATTGAGGAGGATCTCCCCATTCCTTGTATTGAGTAGCCTTCCTGGCATTTAAAGAAATCATATCGCATTTTTATCAACAAAAAAAACCTCTAGGGTTTATGCTTAGGATTCTGCCACGTGGCGCAAGTATACAACGTTATCATGCTGTTTTTTAAGTGCTAAACCCTAAAACCCTAGATTTCAAAAAGCCAACAGTTTTTCATTCATTCAAAGGAATATTAACATAGACGACGACCAGTAAACGACCGTGGACTGGATGGATATTCTCTTCAAATGTTCAAACTTTGGAACTTTGAAGTTTGAAGCCCTCTTTTTACTGAGCGATCCATTAATTAAATTAAAAAACTATGCAAACTAAAGAATCTTTGGCAAGTCCAACAGAATTGTGAGACTGAATGAACTAAATTAATGGCATAATTGAATATCCACTGCCCAAACTCGTGGTTCTGAGTTTTGATCTGACCTCAATCGCAGAGGTTAATTTGTAGAGTGGAGACTGATTTGCCTGTTGAGTTAGAACCTCAATAGAATTAAATTCTTTGACCAAAATTTGAGCATCATTGTGAACCATGGATTTAAGCATAGACAATTTGACCAAAAACAAAAATAAAAGGGACATCTCCACCATACAAAAAAGGTCATTTTGTGTTCTTTATGCAAAAGTATCAACAAGGTGATGAGAAGTTATTTTTATGTCTCATGACATTTTCGAACAAAATAAAGATTGTATGCTATTAGGCCAAATGGTCATTCATATCAAATAAAAAGTTTCAGTTGGATAAATAAAAGTTATATTTGTAACTCAAGCAGTTAAAAATATTTACTATGCAGTCAGTTTTATGTGCTTGAACTCCCCTATCCCCATATTGCTTTGTATGAAAAAAGAAAGTTAAAAAACAAAGATTATCAGAATGTATGTGAAATATCATATGCACAATTTTCAACTGTTGAAGTGCACCTTATAATATAATCCCATGTTCTTGTGTCTTTGCTAATTTCCCTACAGGCTGTGGGTTAGATTTTGGTTTGGATTGCCAAAAGGTTGGGGATCCAGGTTGGGCCATGTATTGGCCAGAGTTCTAGGTGATAATGTTTCCTCACCACTTCATATTTTTATAAATTTTCATAAAAGGTACTCTAATGGAATCCTGTTCTCGTAAAAAAAATCTGTTTTAAAACTTTTCTATGCATCTTGACCTTGTTTGGTCTTGATTATAACCATCCATACTAATATATATAACTTAACATCGCAAAATTGTGATTTATATATATCTCTGTTCCGTGTCAATATAAGTAAAAATAGGCGCATGTACCACTTCAAAAGGGTACAAAGTGTAGTTGATACGAATTATCTGCTTTTCATGCATTCATTTATGAGTTAACATATCCAAAAAACAATTCATTCAAGTAATTCTTTTGTGGATGTAGTGAGTTACAATACTCTTGTAAATACCAAAGGAACTAAATAAATGCATAGTGGAGCGGAAAGGTAGATTTGAAGCTTTATAGATGCACATGGTAAAAGGGATTGGGGTAAAGGGATCTTTTCTCTTTAGATAGTTCTCCTTCCTAGTTGCTGCACAAAAGAAACAGAACCCGTGTGTGTGTGTGTGTGTGTGTGTGTGTGTGAGAGAGAGAGAGAGAGAGAGAGAGAATTTACTTTTTAGTGTTTTAGCCTGGCATCTTGCTAAGCTTAGATTGGTGGATTGTTTCACCTTAACGAGTTAGTAACATTAGTATATGGTGTTGGCTTCTTAGCCTGGCATCTTGCCCAGCTTATCACATTGATTTGTGGCTTGTTTCACCTCAAAGAGCTAGTAAAATTAGCATAATGGCTTCTTTAGCAATTTTAAATTTTATATCATTGTCATAGAGTTGTATATAGGGCCACTTTTTCAAAGGTGCTTGGTTTTGCTTGGACTAGCCATGAGTTGGAAACCATAAGGATTAGGTTCCTATATGCCCTTAGAGTTTCTTAATACCAAAAACCAGGGTACTGTTATTCTTTCTTCAATTGGAATTGTTGGCAGCAAACATCACGTGATTCCATGGTTAATAATATAATGCATGTGATTGATTAAGCGAGTCTAAAGATAAATGAAAATGGAAGTGATTAAGTTAGTGACATTCTGTATTATTCCAACTAACCATTTTGAGTAATGTGGGCTGTACACAGACCATAGCCAGGTGAGTACGTAGTATTCACGGCTCCCTCATACTCTCTAGGGTTGTGTGGCTGGACACAAACCATGAATATATATGGATGAGCATACTTTCATCATGAATGTGCAACAATCTACCAAATAAAACTAAGTTTTCGAACCGAAACCTTTTGGGAAAAAATTCTGCAATGTCGCTCTCTTTACTCATGCAATTCAAGGCAAAAAAAAAAAAGTTAGTTAAACAAGATACTGCTACAACATTTCTAACATTATATTCCCTGCAGGTACTCTATGTGGTACATATCATTTCTCTCTTCGAAGTGGACAAAAAATTTGTTTTCCTTTAATTCTCTTAGGAGAAAAGAAAAGTTGGCAACTTTAATTCAGTATGATGTTAGCTTTTGATTTCATTTTGGTAGCTGGGGACCAAAAATATGGCCAAATTAACTGTTGGATTAAAATGAAATATTGTTGGTGCGAGAAAGTATAATTTGGTGCAGAAAAGATGAACGATGTTGGAATTTTGAATTGCTACAGCAGAGATTTTGTATTACTTCTTGATTTCTTATAATTCTTATTTATTTGTGATTAAATTGATAAGCCAAAGGCTTTATAAAGAGAATACAAAAGACTCTAGAGAGCTCTTCCTAGACAACTGAAACTTTTATTTAGCTGCTGCCTACCCCTTCCCACTTAGTGTAGATAATATCGTTTGTTAAAAAGGTAAACTATTTTTTTTTTCTGTCTCTCTAATTAATAATTGAAAATTTGACATTAATGTAGCAGCTGCAAACTGCCTTCTATGTAGATAAACTCAGACTAAAGCTTCTATCACAAAAAAGAGGTTGCTCAGGAACACTGGAACAGCTTGTAATATCAGATATTGTTCTATAATCAACTGCGTATATATGATTATCCAATGTAGACAGTAAATTAAGGATCTTAATTTCATCATTTATTTCCTTTATATATAGTTCAAAAATCTATTTCCTTTTGTTGCAAATTTTTCACCCATCTAACTTTGATACTGACATATTTTTTCAAAATAAATGTAAGAGATGCAACTAAAAATGTACATGAGTGAACTTCCGGGTGTGCGTACAGCGCACAATATTAATATTGTAATCACAAGGAACTTATTGTTGGTTTTAGAGAGTTCACTCTTACACACGATGTCGTTGTCCTGTGTTTGAGAGATCTAGAGAGATAGAGATTATTATAGTCCGCATGCATTAACTTGCATCTTCGTTACCTGCACTAGCTTGGGTTGTGCATGTACATTAAGTTGCTAATACTGTCAATTTTTTTATATGAAGTGTATATTGATGGAAATATAAGCAAACTGGCCAAAAAAAACTTTGAAGGAGGAAACTACATGTTTTACAACTTAATTTATTATCTGCGTTTTTTGTTAACCAACTCACAGATTACATGCACACTTCCAAGAAAAAATTACAACAGAGAAGAAGAAGGCGAGGAAGGAAGAAAGGAAGCATGACAAAAAATTGAAGTACAATCAGCTAGTCTGATCAAACCACTTTCTAGATTAATTTCTAGCTCAATCCAAACATGGTACAGATCAAACTGCGAGAGCTTGGTATTCGGGATCTGAAACACGACTCTCGTAGAATCTGGAAATGAAAGCAGTGGCCTTACGGTCGATGCCAGGCTCGGCTGTCCATCTACCTCTGTCTTCATCACTGGGACATATTCTCCGTCTAACATAAACACCACCGTCATCGGAGTACACATCGTCTCTTTTATCGCTTGAAAAGCAGGCCTTGAATACGTTGCAGAAAGAGAAGAGTGAAGATTGCTTTCCCATCTTCTGCTTGGTTTTCTAATCTAGTTTTCTTAACAAGCAAGGTTTTTTTGGTATGTTGCTGCAATACCATGTAAAATTTTATGTCTATTTATAGTGGAAGAAAACCCTAGTTAGGTCTTAATGTGGGACAGGGGGAGTCCAGCTAATTTGGCTGCTGGTTTTAAAATTAAAAATGGAGGGTCAGGATTGTATGATAAGACAGCGTGAAAGGGTAGGATGATCGTAAAACTAATAGAAAAGCATAAGCGTTAATGTCCTCTGCTTTTGCATTGACTCAAACAGTACCCAACCTTTTCTTTTCTTCTTACAGTTTTTACTTTCTTTTGCCCTCCCAAAAGATGCCCCCCTTAACTCTTTAAAATAATGCCTACGGAAATCTAAGATTTGGAGGATACTTCTCTTCTCGCAATTTAATGTATCTCTTAGAAAGCAGATGTATGGAATTTAAAGCTAATGAAGTGTCTTTTACTGAAGTAAAAAAAGGAGATCAGCAGAACATGCAGTAGATGAGGGACCACGGAAACCAAAAGAACGTTTGATCTAATCTCTCGTATTATTATCTTGTCGGTTATCTTCTAGTTAGATCTCGTTTTTTCATAAAGAACATAAAGAACGAGTTGTCAATAATATGACATCGATAAGAGCATTCCCAATAGATGCTTTATCTTTCTTGAGGTTACCACATTTGTAGCTCTAATAAAAAATTTCATCTCGAATGAGCTGAAAAATAAGATTACATCCACTACATGGACTAGCAACTTCAATCCTTAGATAGCAAAAAATTAGGTTACATCTAGCCTCAAAAAGTAAGAGGATCCACACCAAATTGAGGGCCCAATCTTGGGTTTATTTTGTTTGGTTTTTTAGTTTAGAAATGGGTGAGCCCCATTTTTAATTCCAAAACATGGTTTTAAGGGTTTATTTTCAACCATTTAGGATTTTAAGGTTTATTTTCAATCGTTTGTTCGATTAAGAAAACATATACAAACAATGACTATTTTTGTGTGATTGATTAGAAAAAAATGTTGTGCTTTGTGTTTAATTTTCTAGATTGAAAGATTCATAAAAAGGTGATGAAACTTAACATTGGTAGTTTAGAAACCTAAACCGAAAATATAAACAAATAATATAACTAAAGTGTGATAAGATAATCCAATCTAATGGTTGTTATGAAATGAAAATCTCGTTTGTTTTCGAAGAATGTGTCAATCAGATAAATAAATCAACGGATGAGATTGAGATAACATAATCAAATCCAATGGTTGTCATGAAATGAAATCTTGTCTGATTTCATAGAAACAAACCAACGTAGGAGATTGAGATAAGAGAGCCTAGAACAGTGCATAAGTGATGAAATTTAACTTCATCAGAATTTGAATTTTTTTAAGTTAAAAAGTTCATAAATTAAAATTTAAGATAACACGTCAAAAAATCAAGTTAAGAAAAAAATAAATTTACCACGTAATCAAATTACTACATAAATGAAATATATAGCCTTATATAGAGCCTAAAAGTATACAGCTCCTTATTGGGAGAGATTCTTTTTTAAAGCCCCAAAGATTCCTCGAAGCTCTAAATTGGGCTATATTCACCGCTTTTCTAGCCTCATCTAAAACCCCTCATTGGGGATGCTCTAATCTCTCAATATATATTATTGTCATTAAATAAAATGGTAGCTAGAAAAAAATTAGTGACAATATGTATTCCAATTAAACTATATTTTTGAGTAATGTGGGCTCTATATACACTATATGTAAGCGAAATAAAATTCTTGCTCTCTTTGTTTGTGTTGTGTGACTCGAAACAAACCATGAATACAGATGAGCATAATTCTATATAAAAAATGTACCACAACAATATACGGTATAAAACGAAGTGATAATTCTATACAAATAGTGTCGAGATCATTTGAGATAAGAGCTTAGAGTATCAGTGCTCGTCGGTCCATTTTACAATCTTAATTACTCTCTATTCTAACCTTGCAAATTAAACAAAAAAATATAATTAATTAAACAAGATGCTGCTACAAAATTTCTAACATTATATTCCCCATGTACATTATGTGGTACATATCATTGCTCTATTAGAAGTGGATCAAACTTTTTCCTTCATTAATTCTTAAGGGAAAACAAAATTTGGCAACTTTAATTAATTATATATTAGCTTTTGATTTGATTTTGCCTTGAGGGACCAAAAAGATTTGCCAAATTAACGTCATATTTCAGCTCTTTTTCTCTTTCTCTCTAATAATTGGCAAATTGACATACTAATGTAGCAGCATTTGCAAACTGCAGCCACGTGGATAAACTCAGGTTGAAGCTCCTACCACATAAATGGTTTCCTGCAGAACTACTTACGGACTGAGTTAAGGTCTTAATTTCATTTATTAGGATGCTTTCACAGTTTAATATATTTCATTTCGTCGATATAGACAGTGCAAGATTTTGTCATGTTGATATTTACACATTTTTAGGTCCAAATTGTTGAATAATTGCAGCGAAATGGAGTATAGAACCAAAAAGGATAAAAAGAGATCAATAGCATGGGATCCACCCAAAAAGTAGAGGAATAATTTATTTATATGTAAATTATGATAGACATTTTGTTATCATAATTAAGGAGCTTGCAGTTTAGGTGGCCTTGCACACTACTACATTAAACACTTTGCGCGATGAGGGAGTATTTGTCACGCAAAGCATTTCTACGTCACAGAAAACCTATGGTGATGCAGAAATCGTCGCGCAAAATTTGTCGCGCAAAGGTCATGAAGAAAGACATTGCGCGACAAAGAGTGCAATTTCGTTGCGCAGCAAAATGATTGTGCGATGCTTTATTGCTCGTTGCAAGAAAGGTCTACGGAAAAAGGTTTTCGTCGCATGATATAAGAGGGTACAAGTGTGCTTTGTGATGAGAAATTTATGGGGATGTCTATGGTTCGTCTCAAAATTGTTTGCGTGACGATACATGTAAGACGCGCGTGGTTTTGCATGACGACATATCTTCATTGCACAAGTGTAACTTTTAATAAAAAAAAATAGAATTTAATAAATAGAATGTTATTAAAAAAAATATATTTCATACAATTGACAAAAAAAAAATTAATGAATAGAAAAACAATTTATTTATAATATAAATAAAAAATGTACGTACAAATACAAAGTTTAAAAAGAAAGTAGGGAAAAAAAAACTACAAAAAAATAAAATAAAATAAAATAAAATTGAGGCATAATCTATGGGCAAGTCGTTTGGAGGTGATTGGTAATCTTGCTGCTGGAAGGGGGTAGGGTTGGGGACTTGGTCGAAGGTCAATGAGTCTGATTACTGTGTATTCTTGGGGTGGAGGGGCTCTGACGGCTATGGTGCAGAAAAATCGGGGAGATGAATCCCAGAGGAATTGAAGGCCTATACAATCAATGACATTTGAGTCTTGTAAGATGCGAGCTCACTCTTTAGGCCAGCGACATCCTACGTCAAAACCGTAACCTCGCCCTTTAACTGCGAGGATGAAAAGGCTCCACTCTCCCGCTGCCTAGCATTTCCCATCCCCCGACAATATGTCACTGGCCTCCAGCTGAAAGTTTGGTCCAATGTCTCTGTAAGGATGTGAAATCCCGCATCCTCAAGGGGATCCGCATACTTGATCGGCGTGTTCGAGGGAAGTTAGGAGGTGAACTTTTGAAGGACCGACTGACCCTTCTCCACCCTAGTCGCTTGTGAAGTAAAACATGGAATATTAATAGCAAACAATTTGAAATAATTAGTATAAATCTTTAATGCATAAGAAATTAATTACATGAAGGGACTCGGTCAACTCATCCTCGGGCCGAACATAAACTTCAACAAAGACGTCGATCTTTGGGAATTTTGAACCCCTCCCCTTCAAATAGAAAAAGATAAGGAAAATGTTAGTACAGAAACAAAAAATAAATAAAAATTATTAGCGACATTTTAAAATTGGAAGTGAAAGCTTTAATATATACCTTCCGCTGCGCCACCATTTTATATAAGAAAGGCCTCGAACCCGAATGGTGGAAAAGAGTCTTCTTCTTCTGATTGATCAACGTCTTCGCCTTCTTTTGTTATACACAAAATAAATGTATTAGTTGTAATATTTAAAAAAAATGATAAACATTGGTAAAAATTTTAAAAAGTAAAATGAAAGAAGTCCTATTTTAAAACGCACCATATAGCCTGGCTCCTGAAAATGATCGCAGAGCCAAACCCAACTATCTTCTCTGTCCTCAAACTCCTTCGGGCAACCCTCCTCGAGAACGACCTGTAGATCATCAAACATCTCGAAATACTGGTGCAGGTCATTCTTCCACTACTTGTAATGTTTGGAGAAGAGCCGATTAAGGTACGCCAACATGTCCTCGTTGATGTTATCGAAATTGTAGTTTGTCTGCAATGTAATAAATATTACGAAAGTATAAGTAATAAAAGACATTAATAAATATAAATATATAAATTGTACATGAAAAACATTAAAAAGGCGACGATACTTACCGACAAATGATTGCGCATCGTGTTCTTCACCTCCTCCAGCATCGCCTTCCAAGACTTCCACCGCATAGGGCAAAAGGTCTACACGACATGCCCAATGTCTTGGACCAATGCACTATGCTGCTCCACCATTGGTGTTGCCCAATGTCGCTCATCGTATCCAATTACGATACGATCGTTGGTCATCCGAGTGACCTTCGCCGTCTTCAATTGCCGACAAGGTCCCCGAATATTTTTCTTGGCTACAAAGAAATGAAAAATTAATGTTAACCCAAAACTAATAACAAATCCTTCCAAAATTTCGGCAGAACCTCCCTATAATTAAAACATTTCCCAAAACATTGAAAATAACATAAAAAATATATGTTTCCAATACAATGATCACAACTATTTAATAATGGGTTAAGAATGATGACAACAATAAACAATATATATATAATAACTTTTTAATCCTTAAATGACATAACTTAACAAACTGAACCTAAAATAAATAAACTAAGTTAACATGGGAATGAGGGAGTAAATTAGGATAGTATACC